GAGCCACAAAAACCCTTCCCGCGCCTGACTATTTCTTGAGCGGCCACAAAACTAGCATACCTAGTTGAATTAAATGTTCTCTTTTCTTCTGAAACTTTTTTCTTGGATTTATCTATGGTTGGCCTACCGGGGGTTGAAAAGCTCAATAAATCGCGTGCCGGTAGGTGTCACACATTGGTGGTTGTGACATATAGTTTGAGATCCAGGGAGCCGCAGCAGAGGGGTGAAAGAGCCACATGCGGCTCCAGAGCCGCAGGTTGCTGACCCCTGGTATAAGTAGTGCTGGATTTACAACAGTTCATTTAGTGACCTTTTAAAGTGACAATGGCACAGGAAAAAAAGTGACTTATGACTGTTTTTCACACTTACAGCCGTTGCGTCATCCCCATGGTCATGTGATCAAAATTCAGACGCCCGGCAACTGACTCGTATTTATGACGGTTGCTTGTCCGGGGGTCAAGTGACCCCCTTTTGCGACCTTCTGAGGATCAAAGCCAATGGGGAAGTCAGATTCCCTTAACGGACGTGTTACTAACTTAACTGTTAATTGGCTGTGATCCAATCAACAACTACTGTAGAACCTCTGGCCACAAACGCTTCTGACCACGACCAAAAAATTCCCAATACTTTTTTTTCCCCGTGGCCGATTTTCCCTTCCGTGCCATGTTTTTTTGTAAGCCCCAAATTTCCAAAATTAGGTTCGGGACACGACCAAATCGGTTTGCGACCAAAGTTAGGGAACAAATTATGGTGGTGACCAGAGGTTTCTACTGTATGCGAGAAAGGTCGTAACGCGTGGCAAAACTCACTTAACGACTGTCTCACTTAGCAACTGAAATGTTGGGTTCAATTGTGGTTTATAGTTTCCACAATTGTGGAAACGATCTCTACCCCATTTCGCTCTGGAGCCAAACAGGACAGGGGGAAACTCACTGAAATAAAATAATGTTTTTTTTTGTTTTCCGGTGGGATCTGCTGACAGGAATTTCCCTTTCTTGGCGTCAGGAAACCTGAGGGAAATATCGCAAGATATTTAGCATCCAACAAGGCCAAGAAAATGCCTTTCCCAGCAAAGAATAAGTCTGAAAGTTAAGAAGCAAAAGGCCCCCGACGGGAATCTGCCATATTCCAAGCGCACAAGCAGCCTCTGCCCCCCCAAATAAGGGGGCGCAGGGCCGAGAGGGCGACAGAGCCAGGAAGAAGAAAAAGGCAGTGCGTGCAAGGTGGAAGGAACTCACAAATCCGACTGGGTGACTTTCTCATTCCACTCGCCGAGTTTCTCAGAGGTTTTCACATAGCTGGTGGGGGGGAAACCCAGGGGTCAATTAAAGTTGTTTTTAAAAAATGAGGACTAGGAACTTGCGGAGACAGTTGGGGGGATAAACCCAAGAGGAAAACTAACAGAAGAACAGAAGTGGAAGAGATCCGAGGTCAGTGTTTCTCAACTTTGGCAATTCTAAGATGTGTGGACTTCAACTCCCAGAATTCCCTAGCCAGCCACCAAGAGGCTGAGATTGAGAAACGCTGCTTTGAAGTGGCCTGGCATGGTCCCCCCCCCCCCCAAAAAAATCATCATCATCATTATCATCATCACCACTACCATCATCATCTTTTCTCAGGTCATCCAGGACCCTGGAAAAAAAAAAGAAGAAGGGGTCCTTTAATGAACCATAGAGAGGTGTTTGGCTGGGGAATTCTGGGAGTTGAAGTCCACACTTCTTAGAATTGCCCAGGTTGAGAAATACCGTCTTTAGATGATGTCTATCTTGTGGTCGAGAAGACCAGGTGGATGTATTAGCCACGAAGTCTCCAACAGAACGAGAGAGTTGGAAGGGACCTTGGGAGGTCTTCTAGTCCAACCCGCTGCTCAGGCAGTACACCCTATTACCATTTCAGACAGATGGCTGCCCAAGCTCTTCCTAAACACCTCCAGTGATGGATGTCTGTGGAGATTCTCAGTCATCCAGGTCGTGGTTGTCCCGAAAGTGCTTTTCCAAAAGGCAATTGGACTTTGTTGGTTTTTATCTTGAAGACGTTTCGCTTCTCCTCTGAGAAGCTTCTTCGGTTCAGTCAGAGCTGAGGAAGCTTCTCGGGTGAGTAGTGAAACGTCTTCAAGGGAAGTAAAAAAAAAAAAAGCACAAGAAAGTCCGGTTGTCTTCTGGAAAAGCATTTTTCGGAGAAACCCACAACCTCTGGGTTCTGTTCCACGGATTAATTTTCCTGACTGTCGGGAAAAGGAGAAAAAGGGCTGGAAGGGAAGATAAGAGTTTCCTGAGAGAAAACCCAACACAGCACTTCTTGCAAGGTTCAGTGCCCTTGGGGCTATCTCAAGTGCCCAAAACACACCTCCTGTTGTCATCTGTGCAGAGTCAAACCGCAATTTATTATCGATCGAATGAAAAGTACCAAAAAATGGTACTGTCAGCGTCTCACCGCTGGCATAGAGAGGAGAGAGATAAGCCCTGAACTTTTGCCTGCTAAATCCCTTTGAAGCCCGGTCGTCGTGGAAATGAGGAGGGGGGGGAGACATTCCTGTGAAATGACGAGACAAGAAGTCAGTGGAGTGACTTGGAAGATAGCCAATGAGAAGCAGATAATTGGGGATCGGAAAGGGAGGGATTGGGGGGCAAAAGGTCAGTCTTGTCCGCATCGAGTCATGATCCGGTTGCTGTGCTCAATTAAAGAGAAGATTTCCTTAAAGATTGGCAGTTTGGAAATTCATTTATTATGAGATAGCATCGAAGTCTGACAGGTACTTTTTGTCTGTTCCTTGGGTGATCACCAGAGGTGGTATTCAGCCGGTTCGTACCGGGTTGAGCGAACCGGTAGCAGAGATCGCGGATCTATGCCATCCTATTTAGGCATGTTTTCGAAGCTGGGCGCATGCGCTTTGCTCACTCGTGTGCCTTCCACGCATGCGCGGACAGCTGAGTACATGTGCAGAAAGCGCGTATGTGCGCGGCGAACAGGCGGTAAGAATATTGGAAACCCACCGCTGGTGAGCACGCTCCAAGGAGAGGCATAACATTTTGGAGATGGCTAATCCCGATAGATACGTAGAAGATCTCACCTCCACCCCGTTTTCAACTCTTTTCATATTCCTTTTAACGTTTTCCCTTTCAATGTCTGGGGTTTTACTCCTCTCATGGTTTTATTCTGTTATTTATGGCACTGTGAGCTGCCCAGAGTCCTTTGGGAGGGAGAGATGGGCAGCATGCAAGTTTAATGAAATTAAACTTAAATTTAATAACTCAATAAATGAAATTATTGAATAAATGAAATTTAATAAATAAATGAAATTTAATAACTCAATAAAGGAAATTTAATAACTCAATAAAGGAAATTTAATAAATAAAAAGAAATTCAATAAATAAATGCAATTTAATAAATAAAATTAAACAAATATATGAAATTTAATCAATAAATGAAATCCAATAGATGAAATTGAATGAATTGAATAAATAAAATTCAACAAATGAAATTGAATAAATGAAATTCAGTAGATGAAACTGAATAAACGAAATTGAATAAAATAGATGAAATTTAAATAAATGAAATCCAATCAATAAGCAAACTAAATGAAATTCAACAAACAAATGGAATTCAATAAATGAAACTCAAATGAAATTTAATAACTAAAATTCAATAAATAAATGAAATTCAAGGAATATAGAAGTGAAATTTAATAAATAAATGAATAAATAAATAAATGCTCAAAATCACAGGGCTTTCTACTGTTGTCACCATTAGCACCAATGCCTGTGATTGAAACAATCCTCTCCCAGATACTACAGGCCTTCCACAGTAGGGAGCCCTCCGGACACACTAGGACTACAAATCCCAGGATGCTGAGTGGTTCTAAGGCTCCTGTAGGGAGCCACGCTAGGCAAGACCCTGTATGCCCCACCCCCATGAGCAATGGAAGCCCTACCCAGGGGCACATCAGAATGTAAGTCAATTGCCCGGGGACCACAGATGCAAAGGGCTTCACAGGTACCACATGAGGCAAATGGGAGGAAAGTACAGACAGTCCTCAACTTACGACCGTTAACACAGCCTGCCCATTATGGTCATACAATGAGACCGATCACGTGACCGACTCAATATTAAAATCTTTTTTTTTTTTGGGGTGGTAGTTAAATCAATGCTGAGGTTATTATGGGAACCAACAGTTCATTTCCCTGAAATGGGAAATAAATGCCGATGTTCGGTGAAACCGTCATAAAATGAGATCATGCGACTGCGGGATGCTGCTAACGGGCGCAAGCGTGGCCTAGTTGCTGAGTGCCTGAAGTTTGGTCACGTGAATGCCAGTCTGTGTGTGTGTGTGTGTATGTATGTGTGTTTCCAACTGCTGTAACTTCAAATCTGAGTTGTCAAATACATGTAGTCCTTGACTTACAACAGTTTGTTTAGTGACCATCCAAAGTTACAATGGCATTGAAAAAAAGTGACTTATGACTCCTTTTTCGGGTCATTGTCATTCGGGTCATTTTCGTTGCAGGGACTTTTTTTAAGTTCCTGCCACGGACTTACGACCGTTGCAGCATCCCCACGGTCTCACAATCAGAATTCGGACGCTGTTTCATATTTATGACGGTCACCGTGTCCCGGGGGTCATGCGATCCCCTCTTGCGAGCAAAATCCACGGGAAAGCCGGATTCACTTACCAACCACGTGAATAGTTTTAACAAATGCGGCGATCCGCTTAACAACCGTGGTGGGAAAGATTGTTAAAAAAGAGGGCAAAACTCACTTAACAAATTGTTTCGCTTGGCCACCAATTTTGGGCATCGTTGTGGTCATAACTCCAAGACCACCTCTAGCCTCAAGGTAGGCCTGTTGCAACGTTGGATGCTTGCTAAGCAGGCTGGTCGTTAAGTCGAGGACTACCTGTGCCTTCTCCTTTTTCTGCGGAGCTGCAAGGTTACACGCCTTCGGTGTTTTATCTCCTAACTGTGTGCGACGACATACAAGGTCACAAAGAAGGAAACACCTACGCATTAGAAACCTGGACATCGTGCCAACTCTTGGACAGGTTTTGCTTCAGGTCATCCAAGGGGGTCAAGCCCAGCTTCCTTTTCAGCTCTCCGCAGTGTCTCTCCTTGGCCGCCAGCACCTGGCGCAAGGTGCCAATCTCATCTTCCACCTACGTATTTGGGGGGAAAAAAAGTCCCAATTAGGCAAGAACGAGTAGAAGCAAATGAAATGGGACAGGAACTGGGTATGTTTAGTCTGGTGAAGAGAAGGACCAAGGGAGACAGGATAGCAGTCTTCCAATATTTGAGGGGCTGCCACAGAGAGGAGGAAGGGGTCAAGCTATTTTCCAAAGCACACAAGGAAGAATGGATGGAAACTGAACAAGGAGAGATTCAACCTGGAAATAAGGAGAAATCTTCTGGCAGTGAGAGCAATCAACCCATGGAAGAGAAGTTGCCTTCGGAAGTTGTGGGAGCTTCATCACTGGAGGCTTTCAAGAAGAGACTGGACTGCCATTGGTCGAGGATGGTGTAGGGCAGTGATGGCTAACCTTTTTGCCATCGCGTGCCAGGAAGGGGTGGGGTGGGGTAGGTTTGCCCATGCGTGTGCCCACACCCATAATTCTATGTGCCCCGCCACACACATGCAAGCGCGACCCCCCCTTCCCCCCCCCCCACTCCTGGCACACCCATTTTTCTTTCTCACCTGACTCCAGATCCTTTCTATGCATCTGGGGAGGGCGAAAACAGCCTTCCCCACCCCCTCGGAGGCCGGAAGTTGAGAAACGGGCCATTTCGGGCCTCCGAGGGGATGGGGAAGGCTGTTTTCACACTCCCCAGATGCATAGCGAGGATCTGGAGCCAGGGAGAAAGAAAAACGGGCCTTCCCCCCCTCCCAGGCCCTCTTCTGGTGGGCCCAAAAGGGCCGAAAATCAGCTGACAGAGCTGAGCTGGCGTGCCAGGCAACATGACTCTGTGTGCCACCTGTGGCACGAGTGCCATAGGTTCGCCATCATGGGTGTAGGGTCTCCTGTTTGGGCGGGGGGTTGGACTAGACGACCTACAAGGTCCCTTCCAAATCCGTTAATCTGACTACTAGAGACTGGACTGCCGTTTGTCTGAAATGGTAGAGGGCCGTGACGGCGAACCTATGGCCCTCTCTGATGGCAAGCAAGCCGTCGCCCCGGTTCACCTCTGTTGCACATGCGCACATGCCTCCTGCCAGCCAGCTGGTCTTTGGGTCTCTGCCGTGCATGTACGGGGTGCTTTGGGCACTCGGTCCGGAAAAAGTTAGCCATCACTGGCATAGGGTCTCTAGCTTGAGCAGGGGGTTGGACTAGAAGACCTCCAAGATTCCTTCCATGTTCTGTTCTGTTCTACTCTACTCTACTCTAAAGGGAAGACATGCTGTCTTCAGGAATGGATCAGGCAAGAGAGGCAGGAGCCCACAGTTACTTAACTGTCAGCTTAAGGGCCAACTCTGATGGATCAAGCAGTTAAAAGGGGTGGCGGGAAGTCTGTACCTTCACACTCACGCGTACAGGTAGTCCTCGACTTACGACAACGGAGCCCAATTTCCGTTGTTAAGCAAAGACAGTCGTTAAGTTTTGCCCTATTTCGTGACCTTTTTTTTTTTGCCCCGGTCGTTAAGCGAATCATTGCAGCGGTTCGGGGAATCATTCAGTTGTTAAGTGAATCTGGCTTCCTCCAAGACTGTGCTTTTTGGAATTTCATTGGGAGAGTCACACATGGTGATCAAATGACCCCGGGACAGGGCCAGTGTCACGTGCCCGAATTTTGATCATATGACTTACAGGAATTGTGCAAGGGTCATGTGAAAAACTGTCGTGAGTCATCTTTTTTAAAATGATGTTTTAAATTAGAACGGTCACTAAATGAAGGTTCTACTGTACAATACAGTAGAACTGGGATGGCGTACCTATGGCACACGTGCCAGAAGTGGCATGCAGAGTCATCTCTCCGGGCACGCCAGTCGTTGCCCGTTGCTCTTCCAGGTCCCAGGGTGCACATGCGTGCCGGCCAGCTGGTCTTCACGCGTGGGGGAGCGCTAGAAACCAGAAGAGCAGCTCCCTGGCGCACATGCACACGCTGGGAAGCTGAGCTTCCTGTTTCCGGTGCGCGCATGAGCACGTCAGCTGGTTTTCACACGCGCATTCGTGCCAGAAGACCAGGTGACCAGCGCACATGCGCACACCAGAAACCAGAAGTTTCCCGGTGCTTCCCCGTGTGCGCGTGTTCCCGTTTCGGCACTCGGTGCCGAAAAGGTTTGCCAGCATTGCAGTAGAATATGCTCATCTAGTCATGTTTCCTGTCTCAGCATAGATGATAAGGAATAAATTCCATATTTTCTTCAAGAAAAGAGTCACCTTAATAGGCAACTTTATAGGCATATTTCGGACACGAGAGATATTTCAGCTGCAGGATCGCACAACATGCTTAAACAGGTCAAATCGATTCGCCAACTGCATTCCTGGGACTTCCTGGGCTTGATCAGCATTAAACTTAAAAAGTCATTTTAAGAGAGTTTACCTGAAATGCAAATTTAGCTCTTTGGGTTAATCAGTTACCTGAGGCACAATGCACACCTGTTCAGGAAGTTAGGCACGTTGCATGAATGCAACGAATGTGTTAAGACAGGGTTTCTCAACCTTGTCCATTTTAATATGGGTGGACTTCAACTCCCATAATTCCCTGGCCAGCCAGGGAATTCTGGGAGTTGACGTCCACCCATCTTAAAAGTTAGCAAGGTTGAGAACACTGCAGTAAACATTTTAAGGTGTGTTTTGAACATTTAAGATCATTCACAAACAGGCTACCATGGAAAATACTTTACCTATATACCTACAGTGAAGGATGTAAAGGTAAAGGTAAAGGTTCCATTCGCACATATGTCCTAGTCGTTCCCAACTCTAGGGGGCGGTGCTCATCTCCATTTCAAAGCCAAAGAGCCAGCGCTGTCCGAAGACGTCTCCGTGGTCATGTGGCCAGCATGACCCAACGCCAAAGGGGCACAGAACGCTGTTACCTTCCCACCAAAGGGGGTCCCTATTTTTCTACTTGCATTTTTTTATGTGCTTTCGAACTGCTAGGTTGGCAGAAGCTGGGACAAGTCACGGGAGCTCACCCCGTTACGTGGCACTAGGGATTCGAACCGCTGAACTGCCGACCTTTCGATCGGCAAGCTCAGCGTCTTAGCCATTGAGCCACCATGTCCCTTCCTTCAATGAAGGATGTAGCCATTCACAAAATGCTTACTGAATAAAAAGTAAATTCCCCCTCCGTATTTCCTACTTGGGAAATCTTTTTTTTTTTAAATTCTTTTTACAACCCTGTAATCCTTTGCTTCAGGGTGGGGTCAGGGCAATTAAGTGGGGTTGAGCGTTGACTGCCCTTCCTGACGCCTACGTGGAGTTCACAGCAAATATTTTCCTTTTGCACCCTGATAGAGAAATGTCTGTCGCAGCCTAGAATTGAACTCTCAACCTTCTGAGTGGGAGGTGGGCGTCTTCGCTTCTAAGCCACCATGCTGCTCTTGGGAAATCTTTAGATAAACTAAGCCCGTGATGGCGAACCTATGGCACGCGTGCCACAGGTGGCACGCGGAGCCATATTAGTGGGCACGCCAGCTCAGCTCTGGGGCACATGCGGGCACCGGCCAGCTGATTTTCGGGCCTTCTGGGCCCACCAGAAGTAGGGAAACAGGCTGTTTCCTGCCTCTGGAGGGCCTGGGGACGGGGTGGGGAAGGCCCGTTTTTCTTTCTTACCTGGCTCCAGATCCTCTCTGTGTATCTGGGAAGGGCGAAAACAGCCTTTCCCACTCCCTTGGAGGCCCTACGGAGGCTGAAAGGGCCGATTTCCCGACTCGCGGTGGGACAGGAAGTGACATTTTTTCCTATCCCCAGCCTCCAGAGACTCCTAGAGAGGCTCCTAGAGACTCCTAGAGAGGCTCCTAGAGACTCCTAGAGAGGCTCCTAGAGACTCCTAGAGAGGTTCTGGAGGCTGGGGACAGCAAAAAATGTCACTTCCTGTCCCACCGAGAGTTGGGAAACGGGCCCTTTCAGCCTCCGTAGGGCCTCCAAGGGAGTGGGAAAGGCTGTTTTCGCCCTTCTCAGATACACAGAGAGGATCTGGAACCAGGTAAAAAAGAAAAACGGGCCTACCAGGCCATCATGTGCCAGGAGCGGAGGGGGGACGAGAGGGTTGCGCATGCATGCGTGTGGGCACGTGCGCGCGTGATCCTCCCCCACCCCCCGTCTCCTGGCACGCGATGGCAAAAAGGTTAGCCATCACTGACCTAAGCAAATCTTGCAAATAAAAATGTTGCTGCATATTGGTGGTTTGCAGCACAGCAGTTTCCTATCATGTTGTAAAACAGATGAGGCAGGGAAGATGATTGACAGCTGGGCCCTACAGCCTTAGAGCTCCAGACCCCTCAATGTCCCAGTGTTTATCTTTTGCCTGGAGAATTCTGGGAGTTGAAGTCCACACATCGAAATGCTGGCAAACTTGAGAAATACTGGTCTATCTTATCTAATAATACCTGCAGGAACATTATCAACGAAGCCAGAGAGTATTCTAAAAATTATGAAGTGGCTCATGCAAGCGCTTGAATAAAAAATAAATTGTTTAGGGGCTGGGGAAAGTAGAAAATATAAAGCCTAAATGTTTAGTTTATGGATTAGATTTTTATCTCTTCTTTATTGCTCTTACAAATAATTAAAGCCTGGCAAACATACATAACACTCTTTCTTCCTCCGGTTTTCCCCACAACAATCCTGTGAGGTGAGTTGGGTTGAGAGGAAATGACTGGCCCGAAGTCACAGAGCTAAATTTCATGTCGAAGGCAGGACTAGAATTCACAGTCTCCTGGTGATTGGCCCAAAGTCACCCACCAGCTTTCGTGCCTAATCCAGGACTAGAATTCACGTCTCCTGGTGATTGGCCCAAAGTCTCCCGGCCGGTTTTCGTGCCTAATCCAGGAATAGAACTCACGTCTCCTGGTGATTGGCCCAAAGTCAGCCAGCCGGCTTTGATGCCTAATCCAGGACTAGAACTCATGTCTCCTGGTGATTGGCCCAGTCACCCACCAGCTTTCGTGCCTAATCCAGGACTAGAACTCACGTCTCCTGGTGATTGGCCCAAAGTCATCCACCAGCTTTCATGCCTAATCCAGGACTAGAACTCACATCTCCTGGTGATTGGCCCAAAGTCACCCATCTGGCTTTCGTGCCTAATCCAGGACTAGAACTCACGTCTCCTGGTGACTGGCCCAAAGTCACCCACCAGCTTTCATGCCTAATCCAGGACTAGAACTCACGTCTCCTGGTGATTGGCCCAAAGTCACCCAGCCGGCTTTCGTGCCTAATCCAGGACTAGAACTCAAGTCTCCTGGTGATTGGCCCAGTTACCCACCAGCTTTCGTGCCTAATCCATGACTAGAACTCAAGTCTCCTCGTGATTGGCCCAGTCACCCACCAGCTTTCATGCCTAATCCAGAACTAGAACTCAGAAGCTCCTCGTGATTGGTCCAAAGTCACCCAGCCAGCTTTCATGCTTAAACCAAGACTAGATCTTATCATGGTGATTGGCCCATTTAGCTGGCTTTCAACTCTAAGGCGGGACTAGAACTCCCTGTTTCCCGGTTTCTAGCCTGGTCCCTTAACCACTAGACCAAACTGGCTCAACCCACATCGAACAAGATTGTGGAAACTGAGTAAGCGTCGAAGAGCAGAGAGAAGGCGACTTTTACCTTGGTCAGCTCAGCCCTGAGTTCTTCTTCCTCGGCTTCGGTGAGACCGTTGTAGGGTAAGGTCCTTGACGGGGCAGCCATGGCAGAGGCGCTGGGGTTGTCCACGGGCACATCGGTCATGGAATCGGACAGGAGACCTTTGTTGGGAGAGTTAAGGTTGATATCTGTCATGGACAAGAAGCAAAGGGAGGGAAAAGACAGGCAGAGAAAAGGCAAGCGGGTTAGTCGAGCAGAGGCTGGCCATACAGAAAAGAGGGAGAGAAGAAGTCAAACGAAAGACCAGCGGGTTAGTGGCAGGGCATCTGTGTTTCGAGACTCGCAAACCCACAAGTCACACACCCCATAAACCCACTTCAACAGTAAAGCTGTGATATCTGCTTTCAAGGCCACAGTTGCAATATTGCACCTGGCTTTGGTCACAATATAAAAAAGACGTTGAGACGTCTGGAAAGAGTGCAGGGAAGAGCAACGAAGACGATTAGGGGACTGGAGGATAAAACATTATAAAGAACGGTTGCAGGAACTGGGCGTGTCTAGTTTAAGGAACAGAAGGACTAGGGGTGACACGATAGCAGCCTTCCAATATTTGAGGGGCTCTCACAAAGAAGAGGGGGGTCAATCTATTTTCCAAAGCACCAGAAGCAAAGGACAAGAAGCCACGGATGGAAACTCATCAAGGAGAGAAGCAACCTAGAATTAAGGAAAAATTTCCTAACAGTGAGAACAGTTGATCAATGGAATGATTTGCCTCCAGAAGCTGCGATTGCTCCATCACTGGAGATTTTCAAGAAGAGACTGGATAAGCATTGGTCTGAAATGGTATAGGACAGTGATAGCTAACCTTTTTGCCATTGCGTGCCAGGAGAGGGGGGGCGGGGGAGGGTCGTGCATGCACGTGCCCACGCGCATGTGCATGCAACCCCACCCCCGCTCCTGGCACATGATGGCCTGGTAGGCCCGTTTTTCTTTCTTACCTGGTTCCAGATCCTCTCTATGCATCTGGGAAGGGCGAAAACAGCCTTTCCCACTCCCTTGGAGGCCCTATGGAGGCTGAAAGGGCCCATTTCCCAACTCCCGGTGGGACAGGAAGTGACATTTTTTGCTGTCCCCAGCCTCCAGAACCTCTCTAGGAATCTCTAGGAGCCTCTCTAGGAGTCTCTGGAGGCTGGGGACAGGAAAAAACGTCACTTCCTGTCCCACCGGGAATCGGGAAATGGGCCCTTTCAGCCTCCGTAGGGCCTCCAAGGGAGTAAGAAAGGCTGTTTTCGTCCTTCCCAGATACACGGAGGGGATCTGGAGCCAGGTAAGAAAGAAAAAATGGGCCTTCCCGCCCCCGCCCCCAAGCCCTCCAAAGGCAGGAAACAGCCTGTTTCCCTACTTCTGGTGGGCCGGGAAGGCCCGAAAATCAGCTGGCCGGCGTGCGCATGCACCCGAGCTGAGCTGGCATGCCCACTAATATGGCTCCGTGTGCCACCTTGGCACGCGTGCCATAGGTTTGCCATCACAGGTATAGGATCTCCTGCTTGAGCAGGGAAGGTTGGACTAGAAGACCTCCAAGGTCCCTTCCACCTCTTGTTATTCAACATGGGGGATGAGACATTTAGCGGAGACTGGGGACGTTGATTTATTCTGTGGGCTACAGCACAGCCTGGACCCACAGGCATTTTTTAATAGACAAACACACATTGCCAGGTTGTGTGCCAGTCAGGAAGACGTAGTAAGTGGGGTCCTTGGTGCTCTCTGAGCTTGTTTTCTTGCAGACGTTCCATTATCAAACTAGGTAACATCATCAGTGCTAGAAGGGAGTGGGGTTTCGCTCTCGTTCCTATACAAGCCGTTTGCCCTGCCGGTTTTGATGGGAACGTCCTTAGTGGTTCCTTGATTAGGCTGTTTATTCTTTGATTGCTTATCTTGAGCTAGTACTACAGGTCCTTAATTGGAGTATTGTTTGCTGCAGGAGTCGGGTACCTAATTGAGCAATGAAACTGGTTTGCGAGGAAACAACCAACTCAAGGAGCACCAAAGACCTCACAGTTCAACCCCGAGGCACAAAAAAAATACCGTATTTTCCGGCGTATAAGACGACTGGGCGTATAAGACGACCCCCCAACTTTTCCTGTTAAAATATAGGGTTTGGGCTATACTCAGCGTATAAGACTACCCCTCTTCCAACGCACACCAAATAAAAATTAAAAAACATCAACTGGCTCACCCACAATGTAAAAGCAGCTGTGCTCAGACCCAAAATGGCCCCTGCAACAAGCAGGAACCTCACACATCCACAAAAAGCCCCAAAAAAACAACTTTCACACTTTACACACACAAAATTCCACATGCAGCTTTGTGAGATTTTTTGTGTTTGTGTAGTTAGAGTGAAACACTACAGAAACACACTAAATCTCAGAAAGCTGCACAAATATTATTTTATTTTATTTTTATTTTTATATGAAAACTAAATTTAAAACTTCCTAAACTTTAAATGGCTAGGTCTAAAAAAGAAAGCTGGGATCGCCAGAGCCATTTAAGGCTCGTCAGAGCCTTTCGGGCTGGTCTGCCTGGTTACAGGAGAACGACCCCCGGCGTATAAGACGACCCCCGACTTTTGAGAAGATTTTCATGTGTTTAAAAGTCGTCTTATACGCCGGAAAATACGGTATTTATGCATTTGTAAAATGTATTGCCCGCCCATCTTACATTTTTTTTTTCCTATTGGGAGACATAGTAAGTGGCACCAAGCTATATTTATTTATTTATTTATTTTATTTTATTTTATTCAAATTTGTATACCGCTCTTCTCCTAGTGGACTCAGGGCAGTGCACAGCCAAGTAAAAAACATCCAATACAAAATTTAAAAATTTAAAAGAATTATACCCAAAAATTTAAGAACCTTACGACTAAAACCCATTAAACAATTAAAAATCTAATATCTCAAAAACAGGGGGGGGGGTTCACGCCAGCCCTGCTTGATGGAAAAGTTTTTAGGGCATGGCGAAAAGCCCGGAGATCTGATATCCTCCGTATCTCCGGGGGCAGATCATTCCAGAGGGCAGATGCTGCCACAGAGAAGGCCCTCCCCCTGGGGGTCGCCAGCCGACATGCCTAGCTGACAGCACCCTGAGGAGGCCCTCTCTGTGGGAGCAAACCGGCCGGTGGGAGGCTATCGGCGGCAGAAGGCGGTCCCGCAAATACCCAGGTCCGATGCCATGGAGCGCTTTAAAGGTGGTAACCAGTACCTTGAAGCGCACCCGGAAGTCCACCGGGAGCCAATGCAGCTCACGCAGGAGAGCTGTCACATGGGAGCGCCCTCTCGCTCCCATAATCCCCCGCACAGCCGCATTCTGCACCAGCTGGAGCCTCCGGGTGCACCTCAAGGGGAGCCCCATGTAGAGAGCATTGCAGTAGTCCAGGCGGGAAGTGACGAGTGCCTGAGTGACTGTGCGTAAGGAGTCCCGATCCAGAAAGGGGCGCAACTGGCGAATCAGGCGGACCTGATGAAAAGCCCCCCTGGCCACGGCCGTCATATGCTCTTCTAAGGACAGCCGTGCATCCAGGAGGACACCCAAGTTGCGAGCCCTCTCCGTGGCTCTATCTGCCTGATAGGTGTTTGTCGTTCCATGAATCATAATTCATGCTTACACGTGGGCATGAAGGAAGGTACAACAGGGTACAGGTAGTCCTCGACTTACAACCCTTCCTTCAGTGACGGTTCAAAGTTACGGCACTGAAAAATGTGCCTTATGCCCGTTGTCCACACTTATGAGCATCCCCAGGGTCATGTGATTAAAATCTGGACACCTGGCAACTGGTTCATATTTGCCCGGGGGGGGGGTCATGGCTGGCTGGGGATTCTGGGAGTTGAAGTCCACACACCTTAAAAGGTGCCAAGGTTGAGAAACGATGATCTTAACTGGTATCAGGTATCAAATAAAAAGTTTTTTTCTAAACTTTTGGGGTCCGAGACAGTTACTATCTCCTTAATACAGTACGCAGACTCTTCGTAGAGAGGTGGGCAGGGAACAGCTGAACATTCAAAATACACAAGAACACAAGAGACACCCACACCCTCTAAAAACACAGCTGCAACTGTAACAGGAGAAAAGAGTCAACTTTAGAAGGCCTTAGAAAACAACTCAAAACTTGTGTGGAACAGAGAGGTCTGGCAATTTCGCATTCTGTGCTTTAACTCAGCAGTTCCCTAGGATACTTCAAGGGGGGTCACAGATAGTCCTCAACATATGACCAGAAATAAGCCCAAAATTTGTGCTTGCTAAGCAAGGCAATTCTTAAGGAAGCGCCTCATCTTACAACCGTTTTTGCTTTGTCCTTACATGAATCTCTGCAGCTGTTAAGTGAATCATGCAGCCTTTACGGAATCTGGTCCCCCCCCAATTGTTTTTGCTTGTCTGAAGCCTGCTGGCTGGGGGATTCTGGGATTCGAAGTCCATCCATTAAGGTCGAAAAAAACACAGCTCTAGATTACCCACTATTTTTCTTTTTTTTTCCTTTTTCAATAAGAGAAGGAGCGCTTGGGTTTTAGCACGCTGCTTTCCCTGTTCTTGTTCTTTTTGATTAAAAATAACTTTTAAAGAAACAAAGTAAGGGAGGAATTCAGGGACCACCAGGAGACCTTTCCCCCGTTGGTCTATATTGGGGGGAAGAGATATTGAACTGGGCTGCAAGATGTACCCCACGGTTCCTTCGAAATTTGGCCAAAGCCAGATAGGATTGGTCAAAAGGACCGAGGTCTGAATCAGGTGTCACATAAAATCACTTGCAGAATCCACTGACAAATTGAAAGAGGATGTAGCATCAGTTTTTGGCTGTGCCCTTTTCTTCTTTTTAAAAAAAAAAATGTTAAGAAGCATTGATTTAAAGCAGCGTAAATATTCCTATTGGGGTTGGGTAATGGGATGGACAAAATAAACACTTTTACCCAGTTTGGGGTAATTTAATCTGTTTTACACTGGATGTGAAGAAGCTGGAACGGTCCAGAAACAATTAGATTGTGCCTTAAAACAGTGTTTCTCAACTTTTTAAATTTTTTTTTCATTTTTTTTTTAATTGAAAAAGTTTTACAAATACAAATTTTTCCATTCCCCCCCAACTTTCCCTCCCTAACCCTCCCTAGCCCTCCCCTCCTCCCAAGACTTCGGCGTTTCTCAACTTTTTAAGATGCGTGGACTTCAAATCCCAGAATTCTCCAGCCTGAATGGCTGGTTTTGGGCAATTCTGGGAGTTGAAGTCCACCCATCTTCAACTTGAAAAAAACTTTGAACAAAGGCAGCTCTAAATCATCAAACTTAATCTGGCAAATAATTGGGGAGGAGGGGGGGGGGAACAGACCCTCCAAGCTGCAAAAGCTGACCCCTCTCCCAAAATTGCAATCTCCCACAGCCCCAAGCCAGACCCAGCTTCCCCCACCTTCCAGGCAGGCCTTCCTAACCCTTAGTAAACCCTGAGTTCAAACTCCCCTTGTACCCTTCCCTCCCTCCCACTTCTAAGGACAGCCTGGCCTGGACAAACCCGTCCAACCAGCTGCTCCTAATCCAAAGGCCTCCTCCAGGTCTATAGGCTTCCATCCCGAAGCTTCTCAAGTGCCCCACACCCGGGCTTTGAAGGGGGGGTAGGGGGGGTCAAACAAACCTTGGGGACCCCCTATTCCACTTCTCCTTGCAACAGCTGAGGCTCCAGTTCTAGGATTCACTTCCCACAATCCCCCCCAGGGGGGAAGGGACTGCGGGAAGGACCGTCCCCAAAGAAAGCAAAATGATAAAATAAAAGTAAAAGAATAAAATTTTTTTAATAAAAGTTAAAAAATAAAAAAAAATAAAAAAATAAATCAATAAAAGTAAAAGAAGAAAGACAATTAAAAAATAAATCAATACAAGTAATATAAAATATAAAATAAGATAATAAGTAAATAATAAAAAGTAAATAACAAAAATAATAATAAGTATTCGTCTTAATATAAAAATAGCTATAATGAATACGGTGGTAAGTTTTAACTGTTATGACACAAAAAATTTGTACCCAGACGACACACTGTTTAATGAAAGATGAAACGTTTGCATTAAAAGAAAATAAAACTTTAAATAATAATAATGAAATGAAAAAATAAAATAAAAAAGTAAAAGAATAAAGATTAAAATAAATCAATAAAAGTAAAATAAAAAATAATAACAAATAAAATAATGAAATAATAAAAGTAAAAGAATAAAAGAAATCAGTAAAAGAAAAGTAAAAGAAAAATAATAAAGCAAAATAATAAAATAAGTAAAAGAATAAAGAATAAATCTTTATTAAGGGCCTGGTGGTTCAGCAGACTGATAGCATTGTGATTAACACCAGCTGCCTGCAATTACTGTAAATTCGAATCTCGCCAGGCTCAAGGTCGACTCAGCCTTCCATCCTTTCTAAGGTAGGTAAATTGAGGACCCAGTTTGTGGGGGCAATAAGCTGACTTTGTATAAATATACAAAAGGATGAAGACTATTGCTTAACGCATTGGAAGCCACCCTGAGTCTCCGGAGAAGGGTGGCATATAAATCAAATTTTTTTTTAAAAAAATCGATAATAATAAAGTAAAATAATGAAATAATAAAATAAGTAAAAGAATGAAGAATAAATTGATAAAGGAAAAGTAAAATAAAATAAAAATAAAAATAATAACTTTTCGTCGGGCCCTAAAAACTTACTTTTTTCAGCTAGCAGGGCTGGCCTGATTCCATGTTGGTTTTAACGTTCGATATTGATTTTAACTGATACGTTTTAAATTATGGGCCAAATTTCATTTAATTAGTTTTAATAATTATCTTAACTTTTGTGTACAAATGTTTTTATTTTGGCTGTTCACCGCCCTGAGTCCGAAAGGAGAAGGGCGGTATACAAATTTAATTAATAAAATAAACAAATAAAAAAATAAAGTAAAATAATGAAACAATAAAATAAGTAAAGGAATAAAGAATAAATCGAGAAAAGAAAGGTAAACTAAAAAATAATAAGGTAAAATTATGAAATAATAAAATAAGTAAAGGAATAAAGAATAAATCGATAACAGAAAGGTAAAATAAAAAATAATAAGGTAAAATAATGAAATAATAAAATAAGTAAAGGAATAAAGAATAAATCGATAAAAGAAAGGTAAAATAAAAAATAATAAGGTAAAATAATGAAACAATAAAATAAGTAAAGGAATAAAGAATAAATCGATAAAAGAAAGGTAAACTAAAAAATAATAAAGTAAAATAATGAAAGAATAAAATAAGTGAAAGAATAAAGAATAAATCAGCACAAGAAACGTAAAATAAAAAATGAGTAAAAAGTAAAGTAAAATAATTTAACTTAATAATTTAAAGTAATAAAGTAAAAGAATAAAAAAGTAAAATAAATAATAATAATAATAAAATAATAAAATAAAGTAACATAATAAAGACCCCCTCCCCAGGAGCCCCCTGACCCCAATTCCCACCGTTCTTCCCCTGGGGGGGGGAGGGGTGTCTGACCTTCCCCTCTGAGATGCTGGACCCCCCCTCCCCTCCCCTCCCCTGGAAGCCCCGCCCACCCTGCTAGATTTCTGCTTGCAGGGGCGGCCAGTCAGGCGAGAGGCGCCCCCCCCTGCCCCCCCAGAAAGGCTGAAGCCGCGAAGCCCCCCACCCAGCCCCGGAACGGCCCTTCCCGGTTCCTCCGGGCGTCCCCTACCCTGGCTGGCGCTCTCCATCTCGCCCAGGCCCGGGAACCGTTGCGCGGCTACGGCGGAGGGGGGGAAAACAACCACCGAGGCAGCTTCTCGCTTGACGGCGCGACGTCACACGCCGCCGACGCTCCCTTTTCCGGCCTAATGGACGTCATCGAGAAGCGACGGGCCCCGCCCCACCCCCAAGAGGTAAAGGAGGGAGACAAAAGGGGCCGTTTCAAACTTCGGGTTCCCGATGGACTCCTGAGAAGTGGGAAGCGGGGCAGGAAGGAAGGCGATGCGGGTAGTCCTCGGGTTACGACGGAGCCCGAAATTTATTCTGCTTTAAGGGAAACTTTTGTGAAGTGAGCTTGCCCCGTTTTTACGACTTTCCTCGCCCCGGCTGTTAAATGAATCCCTACAAGTTGTTCAGTTGGTTGTTAAGTGAATCTGGCTTCCCCGTTGACTTGTCAGAAGGGTCGCAAAAGGGGATCACATAATACCCCCCCCGGGAAACTGCGACCGTCATAAATACGAGTCAGTTGTCAAGCATCTGAATTTTGATCATGTGACCTTGGGGATGTTGTGACGGTCGCAAGTGTGAAAAACAGTCCTATCTCCTTTTTTCAATGCCATTGTCATTTTGAACAGTCACTAAATGGACTGTTGGAAGTCGAGGACTCCCTGTTTTAGATTTTAGTTTGAAATCGTCGTGTCCTTTTTTTCTCGCCATGTACGTGGATATACATCCAAACCAGACTTTATTTCCCTGTGTCCTATAATATATGTGGGTGGATACATACATAATTTTGTATTTATTTATTTATTCTGTCATGGTTATGTAGTGTGTATTGGAGGTGGAGACCCTTTGAGAGCTGTAGGCAATGAACTGCCCCCGGAAATGCGTAAGTTCGCCAACCTCCGTGTATTTCGCTGTGCCCTCAAGACCCTGCTGTTCCGCCAAGCCGGGCTATCAATGTAATGATTTTTAAATTGGGTGTTTTAAATTTTTAGGGTTTTAAATCTGAGCCGAAATTATGTAATAATTTTAATTATTTTTAACTGATGTTTGTCTTTGTGTTTTTAATTAGGCTGTACACCGCCCTGAGTCCTTCGGGAGAAGGGCGGTATAGAAATAAAATTATTTATTTATTTATTTAACTTTCATTTATAATGTGTAGGAAGTTAGCACCCACCCCTTTCCTGGAAGAATGCAATATTTTAGGAAATATTAAAAAGGCAGAATATTATGTTTCCCTGGTTGAGAAACGGAGAAGCATGTTTTAAAGACAAAGCAACTCCCACCTTCCTGCCTCCCCCCCCCCCTTTGTTAATGGGCCAGAGGCAGAAATTCAGTCTTTGACAATAGGACCCATCTGCAACACAATAGCAACAGAAACTAACACAATGGGACCCATCTAGGACAGAAACTCACCACATGGCACCTGGGAAGATTACATCAGCCAGCAAGGCTAGCTAAGACCCCCACCCCCTGGGAGTCTGACAACCAATCAGGATACTCTTTCTGGGCCCCAGGAAGTTCAAAGCCAGAGAAAGCATAAAACCCGGGGACTCGCTGTATCTCGGCCCTTTTTCTGTTCAGGAACTCAAACCATGTGATCCTGTCCACCATTAAACCATCTTTCCAAGCAGTTTCCATGTTTCCAGTGTCTTTTTCCCCACTTGGAGCTGAACCCAGAAGGATATTTCTTCCTACAAATGTATGCCGATTAGTGTACATTTCACAGTGGCAATAAAGTTATTCTTTTATTCGGTTCTATTCCTTCAGCTAAGATGGACTTAGCTGGTCGATGGGGGCTTCGCCGTTTTATTCCTGCCCTTTTCTGGAGGAAGAGGGCTTCTTTCAAAGCACCAGCAAGAAAAGGCGAAGCTTTTATCGTAAGCATTTTATCTTTGTGCGTGTCCCCCATGCAGGTCTCCCCCAGTGGTGGGTTTCAAAATTTCTTACTACCGGTTCTGTGGGTGTGGCTTGGTGGGCGTGGCTTGGCTTGGTGGGCGTGGCAGGGGAAGGATATTGTAAAATCTCCATTCCCTCCCCACTCCAGGGAAAGATTACTGCAAAATCCCCATTTCCTCCCAATCAGCTGGGACTCAGGAGGCAGAGAATAGATGGGGGCGGGGCCTGTCAGAATTTTTACTACCGGTTCTCCGAACTACTCAAAATTTCCGCTACCGGTTCGCCAGAACTGATCAGAACCTGCTGAAACCCACCTCTGCCTCTCCCCGCTCCCTGGAGGAAATGTACTTGAGGGTCTCCTGCTTGGGTGGGGGTGCGTGGGTTGGACTAGATCAGCGGTCACCAACTGGTGGTCCGTGGACCACTGGTGATCCGCAAGAAAATTTTGTTGGTCCGCAGAAAAATTATTTGCATTTTTTGTATTGCGCTGTTGGAAGAAACATCCTTCTGGGTTCTGCTCCAAGTGGGGAAACAGACACTGGAAACATGGAGACTGCTTGGAAAGATGGTTTAATGGTGGACAGGATCACATGGCTTGAGTTCCTGAACAGAAAAAGGGCTGATACAGAAAATCCTCGGGTTTTTATGCTCTCTCTGGCTCTGCATTTCTTGGGGCCCCGAAAGAGTATCCTGATTGGTTGTCAGACTCCCAGGGGGTGGGGGCCCCGCCGGCTGACGGTCACATGTGCCTCCCAGGCCACACGCGGTGAGCCTCCGCTGCTATTGTGTAGAGGGCCAATCCTATCTTTGGCAATTCCTACTATGGCTCTGCCTGAAGGAGGTAGATCTTTGCCATGTAGAATAGACTGGCCCAGGCCTTAATGGCCCATTGACAAAGGGTGGGGGGCAGGAAGGTGGGAGCTGCTTTGTCTGTAAAATATGCTTCTCATATTTCTCATCCAGGGAAATATAATATTCTGCCCTTCTCATACTTCCTAAAACATTTCACTCTTCCAGGAAAGGGTTGGGTGCCAACTTCCTACAGCACTAAATCAGGGATCCTCGAACTACGGCCCCTGGGACGGATACGTGCAATGAACATTCGTGTTGCTGCTGAGCGTCTCCCCCTTCGGGGTCTTTTTTTGTGGGTCGGAGGGGGGCAGAAATTCCGACTTGGGGTCTGCTTCAGCCTCCTGGTGGGGGCTTTGGGCGAAGGCTGGAGGGAAGCGCCACTGGTGGCGAAGAGCCGGTGGGCCTCGTTCCAGTGGGACTGCATCATGGCCTGGAACTGGCTGACCATCTCAGCCCGCTGAGCCTCCAGGTGCCTGTACCTGGCCTTGCAGTCCCGCAGGTCTTCCCTCTGCTTGCAAAGCCTATGCTCCTAGTCCTCAGTGAGGTGCTTCTGCTGAGCTTCCTTCTCAGTCAGATCCAATTTGAACTGAGCTGTTTTGCCAACTCTTTCTCATGGTGGCTGCTTAGCTCCAACAACTGCTTCCTGTTGGGGCCCTAAGGAGCCCAGGCGGGCCGGTGAGGAGTAGCGAGTAGAGGCTGGCAAGACGCCCCTTGACATGAGTGACATCGTGTTGGCCACGCCCACCCAGTCACATGACCACCTTACCACGCCCACCCAGCCGGTCATTAGGCACTTCATATTAGTGGTCCAGGGGATTTAAAATTATGAATTTAGTGGTCCCCGAGGTCCAAAAAGTTGGGGACCCCTGGACTAGATGACCTCTAAGGTCCCTTCCAGCTCTGTTAAATCTGTAATCTTTGTAAACCGTCCCAGGGCCAATAAGAGGAAGTGAGCAGCTATATAAATTCAATCCATCCATCCCAAAGGTGCTTTTTCCAAAGGCAACCAAGTCCAGATACCTTTGGAAAAAGCATATTTTGGGACAAACCATGATGGATGACTGAGAATCTCCATAGACATCAATCAATCAATATTACTGTTGCGCTTGGGAATCGGAAGTAATGTGAGATGTGGATTAGACTGCTCCTCTTTGACCCAATGCGAGATTCACCCCCCCTCCCTCCGTCTTTTTCAAAGAAAAAACAGTCTGGCTGCCTTTTGAAAAGTACCTTTGGGCTATCGCCCTCTAGTGGCGGTAGGAGCACACAGCACCAAGAATCACCATTCGGGAGCACACTGAAGTTTTAAGGTTTTTTTTTCCCCCCAGCCTGTAAGCCTTATTAATGGGAATAAATAAATAAATAAAATCTCGGAATTTCTCATTAACAGACAAAGCTCTGGTGGTGGAGATTTAGCAACGTAACAGAATGTGTGCTGCTTGTAACTTATGCATGCAAATGTCTATATTAATACAAGTTATTTGGCTTTCACAAATATAGATATACCTCAATTACGACTCCAGAAATTTCCTCCCTCGTTCCTGGAAGTATAAAAAGGAACATCTGTATTGTAAATGCAACATTAAAGCTTCCAGAGTTCCAAATATTTCACAGTGACCTGGGAAGTTAACCAAATAAACCAGTATTTAGTGAGAGATTGTGGTAGCTAGGAGTACCCCTGGCTGCATTTAAGTGACATTTGTGAAGGGGAAGGACTTAGTTATTCATTTAAAAAAATTATATGGCTGCTCAGCTCACATACAATGATTGGGCAGTTTCCAACTGTAGAAAGTTAGCACCCACCCCTCTCTTAGAAGAATGAAATATGTTGAGAAATATTTAAAAAGGCAGAATATTATATTTCCCTGGGTGAGAAACGGAGAAACATGTTTTTTTTAGAGGGAGAAAGCAGCCCCTGTCTTTTCTTAATAGCCCTCAGCAGATGTCAGCACATAAAGAGCTGATTGAAAAAGGAAGACAAGTATCTAGATAGCTCTATTCATAGGCAAAGCAAATACGTCAGGCAGAAATCCATTCAGGACAGGATATTCTGAAATTCCCTGTAGCAAAATCTGAACAAAACTGGGATTAGCTCTCTGCCACAGTAGGAATTACCCAACAAGCACCTTCATTGCATCACCCTCAGAAACTTCAACCAAACTTCATTCAGACAAACACCTAGGATTTGTACTTTGCCTATAGAGCCAGCTATAACCCCTAGATAACCCCTACATGGCCCCAAGGGAGTCTGACAACAGCCAATAGGATACATGTTCTTGCACAGGAACAGGAAGCTCAAGTGCAAAGCCCAAGAGAAGGTATAAATACCCCTCACTCAGGGGTGGGCTTCAAAAATTTTAGCAAGGGCTTCTCTGCCCGGTTGCTGGGTGGGTGTGTTATGGAATGAAAGACTGAAAAACATTCCTGGGTCAGCCAGATACAGTTTATTGCGCAGGTTCAGAGCCAGATTTGTACCTGAAATTCTGAACCCCGGAAAGCTCTGAGACAACTGCTTATTATATATGTTTCCAAGACAAAGGGTTTGGTGAGCACATGCATTTTTCCATATATGGTTAACATACACTTGTTATATGATAATTGGCACTTCCTAATTACTAAACCATTATTGTCTAGTTTATAAGATTATCTTTAGCTAGACAACCTTCCTTCGTTCTGTAATTACTAATACAGGAGATTTATTGCTGTCCTTAGGTAATAAGTAACTCTTTGTAACGTACATGTTCCTTGTGTCTTTGACAGTGAGGCCCCGCAGATGTTTTCCATATGGCTGTCCTTCCGTGACAGCTAGGCCTCATCAGAAGATATATTACCAATAATGGGATTTAGCTGATTTTTAATATACTCTCCAAACAAGCACATTTCTCCCTTATAATAATGTGAATAGAGAGGGTCCTTTAGTGTTCATGTAACTGACCCTGTATGATTCCTACTTTAGGTGTGGCCATGGCCTAGTCAGCCTCTTGCACTACGGGGTATGTGTGCATTTTTGCCCTCCCCGGGCTCTAGAGGCTTTGCTTGAGCCCCGGGAGGGCGAAAACGGCCTTCCCAGGCTCTGAGGGCCCTCTGGAGGCCAAAAGCGGGCCCGTTTCCGGCCTTCCCAAACTTCTGGTAGGCCCATTTTTCACCCTCCCCAAGCCTCCACGCGCGCCCTGCATTTACTGTACCTGCATTCAAAACGGGCCGCATGGGAACTCCTGGGAGGGAAGAGGAGGGGTGGGTGGGGCCAGCCAGGAGTGGGGTTTGGGGGTTCTCCGAACTGCACCGAATCTTAGTTAGAGGTTCTCCTGAGCCTTGGTAGTACAGTGGTCTAAAGCACCCTGTTATTAAGACCAGCTGTCTGCAATTACTGCAGGTTCGAATCTCGCCAGGCTCAAGGTTGACTCAGCCTTCCATCCTTTCTAAGGTAGGTAAATTGAGGACCCAGATTGTGGGGGCAATAAGCTGACTTTGTATAAATATACAAAAGGATGAAGGCTATTGCTTAGCGCATTGTAAGCCGCCCTGAGTCTCCGGAGAAGGGCGGCATATAAAATCAAATTAAAAAAAATTAAAAAAAACCTGCGATTCCCCAGCAGCCCATCCCTGCCCTCACTCTCCACTCCCTGTGTTCAGCTGCCCAGAACCACCCATGTGCTTCAGCTTCATCATTAAAACCATCTTTCCAACCAGCCTCCATGTCTCCAGTGTCTTTCTCCCGGCTTGGAACTGAACCAGAAGGATATTATTTCCCGCACAATATATTTAAAAAAAAAAAAAAAAAAAACCAGCATAAAAACTCCACTGCAACAACAGCAGCAGCAACAACACAATCGAATCAGCCACTCGATCGGCTCCGTCTTCAAGGCTTTTTGGAAAAGCAACACAGTGTGGGGACTAAAATTGTACCTTCTTCAGGACAATGTATTTTATTTATTTTACGTATTAAATAATATTCTAGAGGGAAGGGGAGGGACCACCACCCCAAAAAATAGGTCTGCTGGTTAGGGAATTCCGGGAGTTGATGTCCACAAGTCTTAAAGTTGCCAAGGTTGGAGAACCCTGCTCTAGGAATTAAATACAATTATCCTGAGGGAGAATTACGTTTGGCCCTGCAATGTGTCTCCTCTGAGAATTTGCTAGTTCCCTAGGCGTGCAACAGTGTGCAACAGCTCGTGTTTGGCTGAGGAAAGGGTTGTTTACTGCCCTCCGTAACCTCCAAAAAGGCAGATGACTAGAGTACTGTTTTCACACCAGGGATGTCTGGTTTAAGAAGAAATTTTTAAAAGTTTTAAATTGGTTGAATTGGTGATTTTTAATTTTTGGGCCAAATTTATATATATTTTAATTGTTTTTTAATATTTGTATTTCATGTTCTTAATTCTGGCTGTACACCGCCCTGAGTCCTCAGGGAGAAGGGCGGTATATAAATTGGAAATAAAATAAAATAAAATAAATAAAAATGTCCAACCTTGGCAACTTTAAGATCAGTGGACTTCAACTCCCAGAATTCCCCAGCCAGCCATGCAGGGCCTTAATTGCACAATTGTGATAGTCATCTTGAATGTTTTAACACCCCCTGCAGACTCTCCTTTAATTAGTTTAGTTTAGTTTTTAGTTTTTATTATATTTGTACACCGCCCTTCTCCCGAAGGACTCAGGGCGGTGAACAGGCATGATAAAACAACATACAAGACAAAAAAATTTTTAAAAAAACATAGTAAAACAATTCAATCTTTGGCCAAAATTAAAACTTCCAATTAAAACCGTATTAAACCACTTTAAAATCATTTATCCCGTCAGACCGGCTTGGTGAAATAATAGAGTCTTCAGAGCACGACGGAAGGCGCGGAGGTCAGGGATCCTTCGTATGTCCGGCGGCAATTCATTCCATAGGGCAGGAGCCCCCACAGAGAAGGCTCTCCCCCTGGGGGTTGCCAGTCGACATTGTTTGGCCGACGGCACCCTGAGGATGCCCTCTCTGTGGGAGCGTGTCGGTTGGTGAGAGGAAAACGGTAGCAGAATGCGGTCCTGTAAGTATTTTATTTTTTATTTTATTTCCAATTTATATACCGCCCTTCTCCCTGAGGACTCAGGGCGGTGTACAGCCAGAATTAAGAACATAAAATACAAATATTAAAAAACATTAAAATATATATAAATTTGGCCCAAAAATTAAAAATCACAAACCAATTTAAAACTTTTAAAAATTTCTTCTTAAGCCAGCCCGGCTTGCTGGAAAAAGTGGGTTTTAAGGGCACGGCGGAAGGCACTGAGGTCTTGGATTCTCCTTATCTCAGGGGGCAAGTGATTACAGAGGGTAGGTGCCCCCACAGAGAAGGCCCTCCCCCTGGGGCTCACCACCCTACATTGTTTGGCTGATGGCACCCCGAGGAGGCCCTCTCTGTGGGAGCGCACGGGTCGATGGGAGGCCGTCGGTAGCAGCAGGCGGTCTCGAAGATAACTAGGTCCTATGCCATGGAGCGCTTTAAAGGTGATAACCAACACCTTGAAGCGCACTCGGAAGACCACCGGGAGTCAGTGCAGCTCGCGCAGGAGCGGTGTAACATGGGAGTGACGAGTCGCCCCCATTATCACTCGCATGGCTGCATTCTGGACCAGTTGGAGCCTCCGGGTGCTCCTCAAGGGGAGCCCCATGTAGAGAGCATTACAATAGTCCAGACAGGAGATGACGAGGGCGTGAGTGACTGTGCGCAAGGCGTCCCGATCCAGAAACACATGTCTTATTTCAACACACATGTCTTATTAAGCTTCGATATATTGGGACACTGGGAGAACTCAGCGTGACATACAATAAGATTAGATGGATTGCTCTTGCTCTACCAGACCCATTCATGTACGATGCGAAGTCTGGCTAGCATTAATTGTTTTTCCCCATGGAATACACACACACACAGAGTATGTGGCTTGTATATATGGATGTGGGAAGCCAGCTTCTTTGGTTATGACCCTTGTGACCATTACAGCATTAGTCATTGCTGACTATAGCGGGGGCTGCTCACTGCCGCTTCAAAGCCATTGAGCCAGCGCTCTCCGAAAACATTCCCGCAGTCATGTGACCAGCATGATGTCATGGTGCATTGTTACCTTCTCACGGAAGTGGTACCTACTTATCTACTTGCATTTGTATGCTTTTCAACTAGGTTGGCGACTAGGTTGGCGGGAGCCAAGGGAAGGACGGGAGCTCACCCCCGTCTCGTGGTGATCAGGTCTCGAACCTGAGCTGCTGGCTTTCCAGCTGAGAAGCCCAGCGTCTTAAACCACTGAGCCACCGTGCCGTCCTTTTCATGTACATACAGGCTACATAAATGTGTTCAATAAAATGTAAAGAGATACAGGTAGTCCATGACTTATGACCACAATTGAGCCCAACATTTCCATGGCTAAAAGTGGCAGCTGTTAAGTGAGTTTTGCCCCATTTTATGACCGCCGTAAGTTGAGGAGTACCTGTATGTGCCTTCGGCATCTTCAGGGTCCTGCTTGGGAGTGACTGTTGGGATTATCCACCCACCCTTCCCTTGTTTAATCTGGTTTAATGGGTCCCCACGCTAATTCTCTGCAGTGGACCTGCTGCCCCATAAGATATGGTGGCCCATAGCTTTCGTCCTGCCATAGATGACGGAGGCGATCCAGCAGCACTGAAGGACTCCTACTTGGGAAAAGGGGCACCTCACCCAAAGACAACAGAGACACACAGATTCTCCAAGACCTTCTCTTTGTCTGTCTGTCTGTCTCTTCCTCTTTTCTCCCTTTTGTATCCATCTCCCCCCTCTTCCTGCTACAATCGCCACGGCATTTGGAAGTCGTCGGGCTTCAGAAGAGACCAATGGGTGGCCTCCACGTTCTTCAGATGCTTCCTGGCTAAGAACACGGCCAACTGTTGCTTTTCCCGGCGCTGGCTGTATTTCCCGACCTGCCAAGGGAAGTGGTCCTTCAGCCCTAGGATGGACTTGTAGCTCTGAAGCTCCTTCGTGCACCAATCGTCGTTCACTTGGTAGCGTTGGTAAAGGGCTGCTTCCTGCTTGGTGTTGAAGGCTCTGAGCCAGTCGTGGACAGCTTCCAGTCCTTCCTGGGACATGACACACGGGTAACGGTGCTGCAGCAACTGGATCAAGAGCTCATTGGCCCTGTTGCATCGGAGGTTGGCTATCTGGTCCTCCAGGCCCACCGGGCATGTGCTGATGACCTCATCCTTGGTCCTGCGAATGAGCAAGACGGGGCCACAGTACTTGCACAGCAGTTCCCCTACGTTGAGGTTGAAGTGTTCCTTCACCGTCCGCACCACCAGCTTATTCCAACTCTTGGGCATGACGTTGAGAGCCAAGGGAAGCAGGTCATCAAAGGTGGCATCCAGAACCAACGCGCCCAGCGTTGGGTAGGACATGGCAGCGCAGGTGGCCGAATAACCCCCTAAGGACCACCCGTACATCACAATGTCCTCCACCCGGAAACCCAAGCGGAGCATAGCGTACCTCATCACCACGTCCACGGCGTTGGCATCGTTCTTCGGGTACGGTTGCCCGGTGCTTCCGGCGAAGCCAGGGTGGTTCCATCCCAACACCGAGTAGCCTGTCTTCAAGGGGGTGAACAGGCAGCCCCACTGATAAAAACTGACGTTCCCTTCGCAGCAGATCACGAGGCGGTTCCCCCGTTCTGTTCCGGGGATGTTGAACCTGGTTCTCCTGTCCACAAACATGGTGTCGATCTTATTCCCGTCCCGGGCTACCAGCTTCGCTCGTCTCCCATTATACTCTTGCAAGAGGCGAGTCTGACCCTTGGCCAAGATCGGGAGCAGGGCTTGGTTCAAAAGGAAGACCGATCCTGGGTACAACAACCACCGGCCTAAGGAGTGAGCCATGATGTAGCTGGCAACTCGACTGGGCAACTGTTTCAGATTGCTGATCAGGTTCCATTGGCTACTCCGATGTCCACAAGGACCTGCCTCAAAGGCCAGTTCTGGGGGACAAGCTCCTTGTACAGCCTTGAGGGGAGGGCGCCTACGGGATTTGCCATGGTCGCTGTGAGTCGCCGGAAGGCTGCCGCCTCCTGCTTCGTCCCATCGAAATTCCACTGGCCAGTTAGCAAAATCAAAGTGATAACTGGCTGTAAAATAGGCCTTAAAAACCCGGGCTAGAGCTTTGGGAAAACAGAAGACACACATAGGGAGACGATGCTTATTCTCTAGGAGCTGCATAAAGTAAAATTTTAAAAAAAACAATGGAGGGGGCACGGCAAGGACCCCCACCTGGATATTTCTGATGTCTCAGAAGTAGGACCTTCGTGGCTGGACCACTTCCTTCATAGCTGCATGGTGCTGGCTTTAGAAGGACATCTCTGTGGCCATGATGAACCCATGTCCATGCAGGTCTCAAGGAGCTTCAGTATCCCTTCCCACAAGAACGGCGTAATAATGGGTGACATCAGTCCCCTTTGTGAGATCCCAAATCAGGCAAGGCCTGAGCAGGGCTGAAGGTCCCCCTACTGTGGACAGGAGGTCCAAAGGATCACCATGGAGGATAGTGGAGGAGAATGTCCCCCAGTTATAGAATAGGTCGTACCTGTCTCAATAGTAGTAACTGTGAGAGGGATCTTGGAGTCCTAGTGGACAACCATTTAGATAGGAGCCAGCCGTGTGCAGCAGCTGCCAAAAAAGCCAACACAGTTCTGGGCTGCATAAACAAAAGGATAGAATCAAGATCAGGTGAAGTGTTAATACCACTTTACAATGCCTTGGTAAGGCCACACTTGGAATACTGCATCCAGTTTTGGTTGTCATGATGTAAAAAAGACGTTGAGACTCTGGAAAGAGTGCAGAGAAGAGCAATAAAGAAGATTAGGGGACTGGAGGCTAAAACATATGAAGAACGGTTGCAGGAACTGGGTATGTCTAGTTTAATGAAAAGAAGGACTAGGGGAGACATGATAGCAGTCTTCCAAAATCTCAGGGGCTGCCCCAAAGAAGAGGGAGTCCAGCTATTCTCCAAAGCACCTGAGGGCAGGACAAGAAGCAATGGATGGAAACTAATCAAGGAGAGAAGCAACTTAGAACTAAGGAGAAATTTCCTGACAGTTAGAACAATTAATCAGTGGGACAACTTGCCTCCAGAAGTTGTGAATGTTCCATCAACTGGAAGTTTTGAAGAAGAGATTGGACAGCACTTTGTCTGAAATGGTATAGGGCTTCCTGGTTGAACAAGGGGTTGGACTAGAAGACCTCCAAGGTCCCTTCCAACTCTGTTATTCTGCTATTCTGTTATTCTTCCTGGAGGGTTGGCATGGGGCAAAACCAATGCCAACCTGGTGTACCCTTCTCATTGATCTCTAGGGTTGAAGAAATGGAGCTGGAAGGCTGGTGACGGGGGTGCCAGTTTCCTACTCAGAGATCAGAGGGGATCTACTTGCAGGCTTTACCCCGATCCCAATTTCTTGGCAATAAAACCAGTTCAGAAGTCTTTCTAAGAAAGAGGTTGAATGTTTGAAAAACTAAAAAAGAACTAAGTGGAATGGAAGGAGTCCTGGGGAGAAAAAATGGGTTGCTTTTTGGAAATATGTATTGTAGGTTGCCAGCTGTCAGTCTCTGTTGTGGCCCGCCAGCAGCCTGCGCGGATTGTTGCTGATCCCGACGACGAGGAAGTTGGTGTGGTGCTGCGCCAGCAGCCTGTGAAGCTGGCGCTCGAGTCGGACAGTGAGGAGGCTGAAGAAGATGTGGTGCCAGAGGCAAGGATTCAGCCAGGGCCTTCAGAACCTCCAGAAGCTCCCATAAGTGAAGAGGAAGAAGAGGAGGAGCCTCTTATCGATGCACGGGCACGCAGAGCTGCCCAAAGGCAAGAGTGGCTCCTCAGGTGGAGGTCTCCTCGAGAGTAAGGCTTGGAGCTAATCGGCCACTTCCTTAGCCTATTTAAGAAAGTACACAGCTGGTAACAAGCTGCAGGAAACAACTTTAGTTCGCTAACCATCGCGTTGGGATGTCTCTGCAAACTTCGTTTCTGGGCTTTCTGCCAACTTCAGTAAGACTCTGAATATCTTATCCATGGAATTCTGGCAGCTGTTAAAAATGCTTTATTAACAGCCGGCATTTGCTAAAACTGCGTTTTTGAGTAAACTAAGTTTTATTCAGAGTTTGTGTGTGCTGTGTTCTTTGGGATCCGTAGCTGGGGCAGAACAGTCTCCGAGTACCAAAACACATATAGAATTCCTTCCAAGCAATTTCCTTTATTGTTCCTCACCTAAAGACAGAATCTTGCCAAATTAAAGCAGACTGCAGGTAATCTTCGGCATACCGTACGACCACAACTGAGCCCAAAATTTCTGTTGCGAAAGAGGCAGTTGTTAAGTGGGTTTTCTCCAACTTTACAAACTTCCTTGCCACCGTTGTTAAGCAAATCACTGCCGTTGTTAAGACACTAACATGGCCGTTTAGTGAATCTGGCTTCCCCATTGACTTTGCTTGTCAGAAGGTGGCTGTTAAGGAATATGTGCAGAGTAACCCTTGAGTAGCAAGGTTGTGCACATGAGAAACGACTGAGAGTGATTGTGAATAAGCACTGTCAATACACAGACACACCGAGTTGTGTTATTCTTTTACTTTTAGGAAAAAGCAAAGCAAAGCCCAATAAACAACCCAGGTCATACACAGATAAAGATAGTTAAATTGTCAATCCAGGGATATGCCAAGAACAAAGTCTTCTTACCAGTTGTTGTAGTCATATGCAATAAAACAGTTCTTTTTGGAGTTGCAAACAGGAACAAATACAGCTGTAAAACAATCAGTAAAACAGTAGAAAACAACAAGTAGCGATGATCAAACATTGATCATGCAGAGAGAGCAGGCAAAGAGGAGCAGAGGTAGCAATAATAATGTAATAAGAAAAATAAGCTATGATTCAAGCTTCCTCTTAAGTACATTGGCTAAGAGCTAGCCAATAGCCAGTACAGTATGATGCAATACAGCATTACAGTCTTAAAGCTATACATTACATTTTGACTGCAAACATGCATTGATGGTTTATATATATTGCCAACCCAACCAGTTAGGGAATAACCATTCCCTAACAGTGGCAAAAGGGGATCACATGACCCCGGGTCACTGCGACGGTTGTAAATATGAACTAGTTGCCAAGCGCCCAAGTTTTGATCAAGTGACCATGGCGGTGCTGCAGGGATCGTAAGTGCGAAAAATAGTCGCGTCACTTTTCTCAGTGACGTTGCGACTTTCAACGGCCACTAAGTGGATTGTTGTAAGTCGAGGACTACCCATTAATCGCATTAACGAAAGATATCCTCTGAGAATTAGCAACAGCAATAGCACTTAAAGAGTTATAGAACGCTTCACAGTGCTTTACATCCTTCTCTAAGCAGTTTACGGAGTCAGCATCTTTCCCCCAATAATCCAGGTCCTCATTTTACCCGCTAGCAGCCAGTGGAACTGGCAGCAGATTCGGACAGTGAGGAGGTTGGGGAGGAATATGGGCCAGTCCTGGAGTCTGGGGAAGGCTCTGACGAGGGCTCTGCGTCGGAGGCAGAGATAGGGCCAGGGCCGTCTGACAGTTATCAGCTGCCTTCAGAGTCGGACATCACTGAGGCAGAAGAACAGCTGGATCCTGTTCTCAGTGTGCACATGCGCAGAGCTGCCAGGAGAACAGCTAAGGAACAAGGGTCGCCTCAGGAGTAAAGCCACCGGTGGACGGTGAACAGTCCTTCCCATAGGGAATAAAGAGGAGCGAAGGGGAGGGGAGTTTGCAGGAGACAATTAGTTCATTTGGGTGAAGATCTGTTCCTGCATTCTTGCCAAGTTTTGTCGGTTACAGTGTGGCGTCTGAAAGATATCGGCCTGGCCACTCTCCAAGCCTGATAAAGGTCATTAATTGTGAACTATCTTGAAAGACTGTGGGAGAGGAAAGACTTTGCTGGAGAGGAATTCACTGTAAATTAAATAAAAGAGGTTTATCGGGACAAGGACTCAGCTTCGTGCTGCTGGGGAAGCCTAGATCAGAATATTACCAACCTCAGAAGGATGGAAGGCTGAGCCAGCCTTGAGCCGGTAAGAGTCGAACTGCTGGCAATGGGCAGTGAGTTAGTCTGCAATACTGCATTCTAACCACTGAGCCACCATGGCTCCTGGTGTATCATGTTAGCTAAAGAGGAGCTGACTCGATCCTCTTCCTCACAACAAACTATCTCAACTTGGCTGTCTCTTGGTCCTCTGGAATGCAGCCCCTCCCTCCTGGGAATCCAGATCACATTCCACCACACCAGCTACACCAATTCATTTGGTGACTGTTTGGAGTTACCGCAGCGCTGAAAAAAATCACGGTCTCGTGATCAAAATTTGAACGCTTGACAACCCACTCATATTTATGACGGTTGCAGTGTCCTGGGGTTACGTGATCCCCTTTTGTGACCTTCTGACAAGCAAAGTCAATGGGGAAGCCAGAGTCACTTGTCGTCTTGAATAAGGCCCACTGCTGTTGTACCATCCACATACTTCACGATATGATGGGTCGCAAACGTGGCACAGTGGTGGGATTCAAATTTTTTTACTACCGGTTCTGTGGGTGTGGCTTGGTGGGCGTGGCATGGCTTGGTGGGCGTGGCAGGGGAAGGATACTGCAACATCTCCATTCCCACCCCACACAAGGGGAAGGATACTGCAAAATCCCCATTTCCTCCCGATCAGCTGAGACTCAGGAGGCAGAGAATAGATGAGGGTGGGGCCAGTGGTGGGTTGACCCCGGTTCGCACCGGCAGGAGGCTCCACCCACTGACCCCGACGTCATCAGAACGCTTCTGTGCATGCGAAGTGAGCGTGCACACGCGGCCCTGTTGCGAACCGGTAGTAAAGGTAAGTAGAACCCACCCCTGGGCGGGGCCAGTTAAAGGTGGTATTTACTGGTTCTCCGAACTACTCAGAATTTCTGCTACCAGTTCTCCAGAACTGGTCATAACCTGCTGAATACCACCTCTGATCAACAGGGTGAACCACAGCGGACTTAGGACAGAGCCTTGAGGAAATAATGAACCATAAAGCAAAAACCACCATCATCCCAACCAACCAAGCTTATAGTTAACCAGGTTTGATGCATACGATGTCAGTAGATATTTTACCTGCCATGGTTAAATCTCCTGGGTGGACCCAGCCAGTTCCATTCCTCAGCTCTTTGAGAAGCAGAAAGTTAGCTTCCTATCCACCTTTGAGTCATAAGTTCTTCATCCTTAAACAAAGATCTCGGGGCAACAATAGACAGTGATGTATCCTAGCTTTTATTTCTCTCTCTTACTCTGCTATCAAACCCACCATCTGCCAGCCTAGCTAGAGCTTCCAGGGCAGCTCAAATTCTTCCGGGGGTAACGTTCTCCCATGTGTGATCTCCACGTTCTTCAGATGTTTCTTGGCCAGGAACAAAGCCATGTGCTTCTTCCTTGCGGACGGTAAGTCACTCCCGACTTTCCACGGAAATTCAGCCTTGCTTCCGACGATGGACCGGTAGGTCTTCAGTTGATCGAGACACCAGTTGTCATCCACCCGGTAGAAATGGTGGTAGATGAAGTGTTCCACGCGAGGGCAGTCGGCAATGAGCAATTGCTGTACCACGTCTTCCGCCCCAGAGATGATGTTAGGATAACGGCACCTTAAGATCTGCAAGAGCAGCTCGTTGGCTCGGTTGGTCTGGATCACGGGGAGGTGGTTCTCCAGGTGGACTTGGGTGGTGGTGATTTCATCGAAGGTCCTCCTGATGAGGAGCACCGGCCCTTGATAGTGGCGCAACATATCCGCCACGTTGAGGTTAAAGTTCTCTTTGATCGTCTTAAGGACTAGCTTCCTCACCTGCTTAGTTACTAGTTTGCCGACCAAAGGGAGCAAGCTATCAAAGGAGGCATCGAGAACCAGGGCTCCCAGCTCTGGGTAAGCCATGGCAGCCCACGTCGCGGTGTAGCTCCCCAAGGAGTAACCGTAGACGGCAATGTCCTCCGGGTTAAATTTCAGACGGTGCATGGCGTACCGGATGACCACGTCCATGGCGTTGATGTCATTCTGGGGATACGGCTTCCCCGAGCTCCTGGCAAAACCAGGATGGTTCCATCCCAGGACGGAGTACCCCGCCTTCAACGGGGTGATGAAGCACCCCACTTCGTAAAAGCTGCCATTCCCTTCGCAGCTGATCACCAAGTGCATTCCCAGCTTCCCAGAGCTCTTTCCACGTCGGTCCACAAACATGGTGTCAATCTTGTTCCCATCGCAAGCCACCAGCTTGGCCCGCTTTCCGTGAAAGTCCTCCATCAGGCGTCTCCTCCCGTTCACCAGCAGCTTCAGTGGGACTTTGTTCAAGAGACAGACGGAACCAGGGTAAAGCAGCCAGCGGCCAACAGTGTGAGCCAAGGTGTACCTGATCCAGGTGCCGGACGCCTGTTTCATTTGGTGGAGGATGCTAATTTTGACCTTCTTGGCCTCTCCATCCTGGGCAGCTGTGGCCACATCTGGCAGAGCGCTACTGGGACTGCTGTTGTTCTTCTCGCTGCTAGTACTTTTGCTGTCCTCATCCCAGGAATACTCAACTGGCCATTTCTTGAAGGAATAACTGTCCTTGATCTTCAGACACGTCCCCATTTTGAAACACATGGTGGAACTCTTGAAGTGAGGTCACCTGAAAAGTGTGAGATAAATGAAAGGAAGTTGGCAGGAGAGAAGGAGGAATGGCCACCAACCTGGTCTGGACATAAGACCGGGAGTGAGCAACTTCTTCAGGATTTGTCCCCAAAGTGGATGCGACTCCTCAACTGTGTTAGAACATCTTGAGGTCACCCAGTTGGTGCTATACAAAAGGAGGATGGTACCATGCAAAGTGCAGAGGACATATCCTTTGAGAGCCCTCCTGGTCAGGGAGAGGTAATAATTAGCCAGGGCAACCTCCCTTTGTGAGCAATTTCTCCTCTGAGGACTTGGCTGAGAGAGCCATCAGGTCCACCTAAAACCTACCCCAGATGCCGTCTCTCTCTCTCTCTCTCTTGTGACACTAGATGGGAAGAAGAAGAGATCCTACCAGTTTTGCTGAAGGAGTCTTTGTGGCCCCCACAAAACAAACAGGGTTTGTTCTTGTAATAAAGAGGTACTGAACTTCTCAAGAACTTTGGTTCACCAGAGATGGTCACCAGGGGTGGGATTTAAAAACTTTAGCAACCGGTTCTCTGCCCGATTTGCTGGGTGGGTGTGGCCATGGTGGGCGTGGCCTACTCGGTCTCCTGCACCACGGGGGGGAAGGGGCATTTTCGCCCTCCTCAAACTCTGGAGCTTTCCTCGAGGAGGACGAAAACGGCCTCCCCTGGGGGCTGGGGGCCCTATGGAGGCCGGAAATGGGCCCATTTCCAGACTTCTGGAACTTCCGGGAGGCCAATTTTTCGCCCTCCCAGAACCTCCGTGTGGGCCCTGCGCTTACCTGGCATCCAAAATGGGCTGCGTGGGGACTCCTGGGAGGGGCAGGGAAGAGTGGGCGGGGCCAGATAGTCCTTGCAACTACCAGTTCGGCTAACCAGATGTAAAATTAGCATCCGGTTGGCCCGAATCGGTCTGAACCGGCTAAATCCCACCCCTGAAGGTCACTGGCAACTTGAAAGCTTTGCAAGCTGACATGAATTAATTAGGGCATCTTTCGGAAACTTCAGTCACCTTCCTTGGCCTGGACTTCAGCTTCGTTTTGAGATGGCGACCCTCCTCGTGCGATTCCCTTGCAGATGGGACAGATCTTGTGAGGGTTTGTTTTTTTTTTTCTTAAAGGGGCTCAAATCTTGGCACATTCTGGGGGTTCTCACTGCTGAGATTTAATTTAGAACGCTGAACATTTAATGGGCTTTTGTGATTTCCAGAGAGGTGGCTGTTTATGATTTGTTTTCTTTTTTTTAAATTTAAAACATTTTAGTTTCCTATAGAGTGCTCTGCTTATAATTCAGGTCAGGGGTGAAATGCTCCCGGTTCGGACCGGATCGCCCAATCCGGTAGCAATGGTGGTGGGTGGTTCGAGAACCGGTAGCAAAAATCCCTGCGCCCACCCCCCAACCACCATGCCCAGCTGAGCTGCAGGATCATCAGAGGCTTTTTTTTTTACTTTTAAAAGCATTTTTTCTACAACTTCTTCCGCCCAAAAAATGCTTTTAAAAGTAAAAAAAAAAGCCTCTGGTGATCGCGCGGCTCAGCTGGGATCGTCAGAGGCTTTTCAAAGCATTTTTTTAACCACCTCTTCCGGGGAAGAGGTTGCAGAAAAAAATGCTTTAAAAGTCTCTCTGACGATCCCAGCTGAG